GGTTTTGTTTAAATGACAATACTACCCTTTAGTTAACAATTAAAATCCAAACACTTCCCGCTTCAAATATCAAAATCAACAAACTTTTTTTATCTGTTTACTCCAGCACAAATAAAAACATTCTCATCTTTCATCTACTCCAACCTCAAAAATTAGAAAACTTATCAAATGCGATAGCTGAAAATTCTTTTATATCAATCTTATCAGATCGGTAAGTGTAAAATACGCACATTTAATTTTGTTTTCCTTAAATTATTGTATGTTTTAATCGATAAAACTTATTTCAACATATAATGTTGATGTAGATAATGGGTTGATTTCCACCGACTGTTAAACAATCGGTACACACGGAAGTCGGCTAAGCCGACTTTTTACCGTTGACTTTACTGACGATCTCCAATCGGCTTAGCCGGCTTCCCTTTTTTGTTTTTAATTTCTTATGTGTAATATTATTTTATTGAAGAATGTATGGTTAAAAAAAAGATAGAGAAATGTGTTATGAATTTAATGGGGCTCAAACGGGAGCTAAAAATTGAGAAATTTGAAAAGAGTTTTTTATATGTATTTTTAAGTTTGAAATTCATCCAAATCTTTTAAAATCTCTCTATTGATGAAGCCCCTATTTGACAACCATACTTTTAAAATCTCTCTATTGATGAAGCCCTTGTTTGACAACCAAACAGTTGGTGGTAGCCCGATGACCCGCTCGAGTATAGACTCGGGCTCCGTGTACTCATTATCCATAAGCTAGAGGGACAAACCGGGGCTTCATCAATAGAGAGATTTTAACAGATTTGAATAGATTTCAAACTTAAAAAGATATATAAAAAACTCTTTTCAAATTTCACAACTTTTAGCTCCCGTTTGAGCCAATTAAATTTATAATACATTTCTCTATCTTTTTTTTAACCACTCATTTTTCAATAAAATAATATTACACATAAGAAATTAAAACCAAAAAAAGGGAAAGCCGATTGGAAATCGTCGGTAAAGCCGACATCCATGTGTGCCGATTGTTTAACAGTCGGTGGAAACCAACCCATTATCTACATTAACATTATATGTCAAAATAAATTTTATCGATTAAAATGTTCAATAATTTAACGAATACAAATTAAATGTACGTATTTTATACTTACCGATCTGATGAGATTGATATAAAAGAATTTTCGACTACCGCGCTCGATAAATTTTCCAATTTTTGAGGTTGGAACAAATGAAAGAGGAGAGTGTTTTTATCTATGTTGGAGTAAATAGATGACAAAGGTTTTCTGATGTTTGATGTTTGAAGTGGGAAGTGTTTGGCTTTTAATTGTTAACTAAAGGATAGTAATGTCATTTAAACAAAACCATATTTTGTAGTTGTATAATGTACTTAAGCGTATTTTTGTCTTTTACCACTCAATAAGACATTGTGATAATATTAACAATCCAACAAGTTAAAGTGGAATTTCACTTGTTTGACAATACTATTATTAAAAGTACCCCGGCACACTGGAACGGAAAGGATTAAAATGTACAATGATGAATTTTCTAGAATTACAAATTATTGCGAAGTGAAAGTTCTGCTTTGATTTGTAATTCTCAATTTCCAATTTCACCCCACCTTCCTCTTGGTGCCAACTTTCATCTCCACTCAATAATTCTCAAAGTACAGTTCAATGGAAAATTTAAAAAAAAAATCAACAAATTTCAATCTGGTAAACAATGCTGAGGTGAGGGTCTTACTTTCGACTAACAGTTAGCTGGATGATGCACCTTTCAGCATTTTGTTCTATTTTCCCTATTGAGATTATCTTCAACAAATCATGATATTTCTCTTTGGAGAGCTCTTGCTTGGGCATTTTCAGACACTTGGTGTATTATACGGTGATATGGGCACAAGCCCTTTATACGTCTTCTTTGATGTATTCAGTAAGGTACCCATAACGTCGGAGATCAATGTCTTGGGAGCGTTATCGCTTGTAATGTACACAATTGCTCTCATTCCATTAACAAAATACATTTTTGTGGTGCTCAAGGCGAATGTTAATAGGGAAGTTACTAACTTTTTGCTTAAAAATTTGGTTTGGCAAATTCCATAGTAACGACTTCCATTGTTCGATTGGCAGGAGGAACATTTGCATTATATTCACTGATTTGCAGGTATGTAAATATTAATCTTTTTTCCAAATGGTCAACAGGTAGACGAATATATATCGAGTTTCAAGCTCAAACTTCCGACTCCAAAACTTGAATGGGCTTATATATATATATATATATATATATATATATATATATATATATATATATATATATATATATATATTTATTTATTTATGTAGGTTTATATTTTAGATAAATAAATGGGCAAACTTCAATATTCGCCCTCATCTTCAACAAAAAAAACAATGAGGGGGAGAGAGAGAGGAGGCCAAAAAAATTAAAAAACTGAAAAAAAGGAAAAAAATAATAAAAAATTACACAGTGAACTTTTAACATTTGATCCTATCGAACCCTAATCACCACCTTTTGTGAGAGTTTCTTAGACCAAGGAAAAGTTTTCATATTTAAGCTTTGAATTTTTCATTTGAATTTTTTTTGTTAATTTGTGGATTATATGTTGTTATTATTGATGTAAAATCTTCATTTTTTGTGTTGATTAGATTATTAAGGTATTTGGGGAGTTAAAAGTGACAGTTGGTTGGTTTCCACCGACTGTTGTTAAACAGTCGGCTAGCCAACTTCGATAGGCGGCCAAGTCGACTTTTTAACGTCGGCTTACCGGCGATTTCTAGTCATCTTAGCTGTCTTCCTTTTTTTTGTTTTTAATTTCTTATGTGTAATATAATTTTATTGAAAAATGTGGTTAGAGAGAGAGAGAGAGAGAGAGAGAGAGAGAGAGAGAGAGAGAGAAATGTATTATAAATTTAATGGGGTTTAAACGGGGCTAAAAATTGTGAAATTTGAAAAGAGTTTTTTATATGTATTTTTAAGATTGAAATCCAACCAAATCGTTTAAAATCTCTCTATTGATGAAGCCCTTCTTCGACAACCATACTTTTCAAAAAAAAAAAAAAAGAACATTAAGTAGTGATTTTTGGGAGAATGTGTATTTAAGTAGGAAGAAGTTTTGATTTTATGTATAGAATATTTTATTTTGTGAATTTTTTGTTGAAAATATATATGTATAAAAAAGAGTTTGAAAAGTATTGTTGTAAACTAAGAGTAGAATCCATATAAATTCATGAATTATTGAGGACACTTAAATTAAAATTCATTAAAATAACGATTGACGATTGAGACACTTAGATTTTAATGGCTTTAATTAAAATTCGTTAATATCTCAATTGGGAACACATCTCAGTTTAGAACACCCTTTAGTTCATCATTATTTAATGTAAAAAATGAGAAATTCAGAGCTCGGACTCCAACCTGACCAAAAAAGATACTTTTTTACTCAATTTGGCCATGGTCTTTTCGATTCAGACTCGTTTGGTACATGTGCCTCCCATACAAACTTGTCTAGGGATGTATTATTTCTTGTCCTGAAATACAGAAATATCATTATCCAAAAAATATTGTTCAATCGAGACGTCAAGAGGGGGTACTTTTAAAAATAGGATTGTTAAACAAGTGAAATTCCACTTTGACCTGTTGGATTGTTAATATTATCACAATGGCCTATTGAGTGATAAAAAAACAAAAATACCCTTAAGTACATTATACAATTACAAAAGTTTGTTTTGTTTAAATGACATTACTACCATTTTGTCAACAATTAAAAACCAGACACTTCCCACTTCAAAAATCAAAATCAGCAAACTTTTTTTTATCTGTTTACTCCAGTACAAATAAAAACACTCTCATCCTTCATCTGCTGCAACCTCAAAAATTAGAAAATTTATCAAATGTGGTAGCTGAAAATTCTTTTATATCAATCTCATCAGATCGGTAAGTGTAAAATATGCACATTTAATTTTGTTTTCGTTAAATTATTGTGCGTTTTAATCGATAAAAATTTTTCGACATATAATGTTAATGTAGATAATGGGTTGGATTCCACCGATTGTTAAACAGTCGGCACACGCGAAAGTCAGCTAAGCCAACTTTTTACCGTTGGCTTTACCGATGATTTCCAGTCGGCTTAGCCGGCTTCCATTTTTTTGTTTTTAATTTCTTATGTGTAATATTATTTTATTGAAGGTTAAAAAAAAGAAAGAGAAATGTGTCATGAATTTAATGGGGCTCAAACAGGAGCTAAAAATTGTGAAATTTGAATAGAGTTTTTTATATGTATTTTTGAGTTTGAAATTCATCCAAATCTTTTAAAATCTCTCTATTGATGAAGCCCCTATTTGACAACCATATATATATAAGTGTCCCTCCAATAGGAAACCGCCACTTGGCTTTTTTGTCGATGATTTTGTACAAAATTGTGTGTGTGTGTGTGTGTGTGTGTGTGTATATATATATATGTATGTATGTATGTATGTATGTAGAATAATCCTTCATTTTATCACAGTAGATACACATCAAATGTACTAAAAATGATTAACGATCATCTTAATTCATTACAGATTTTCAAACATAATTCCAATATAAGTAGAAGTCAAATGTAGGCTTATCTGTTTTCAAGTTGTGTTTTCATTCAGGTTATCACTTATCACAAATGAACTCCATCAGAAAATTGTTCACACATATTGCAAATCTACTAAGCTAGTCTAATTAAAGAGAAGGTACAATATCTCCCTATCAAAGGAGAGAGGAATGAATGACTTAAGGATTCAATGGTACAGTTCTATTGGACCTACATCCTTTACCAGAGATCTCCCAATAAATCTGCTCTAGAAGAGGCTAACTTTATTATGAAATACAGCAGATGAACCAGCAAAAGCATTAATTGAACCATTGTATTGATATAGTTTGCCAAGTATATTTTTAAAGAGAGAGACTCAACTTCACTATAGTTCATTTACTATTGCTACTATCTCATCTTCAATTTCAAGATAGGCTTCATATAAAATTCAAAAAATACCAAATGTCATGAAAGAAATGTGATATCTGTGCCATCTGTTCAAAAGCTGAAAACCTGATTAAACAAACCTATTTTTGTTTTGCTAAAACAATTGCAGTACATGGATTTCAATATGTTTTACAATCTCAATATCAATTCAAAACAATAAACTCTTGGATGAACATTAAATCTAAAGATTGTGCTATCCTGGAACATTTTGAAGTTGAAATATCTTCCATTGTGTTGGAGGGTAAACAGATGGAAGATGACTCCCAGCCCGTTGAAATCAAATAAACTGACAAGACATATCACTTTTTTCCATCATATGCCATTCCAGAATTATAGATTGAACAAGATTGCCATACCAACAGTCAACTATTATAAATAAAAAATGTGACTATTTTGCAGATTGGGCACCAATTTCTTGTTGATTAGAACACCGATGGCCAACTATGGAGACACACTGGCGACCAATATTCAGTGGATAGCAAATGTGGTGGTTGATCTTTGGCGGATTGTGGAGAATCCACCGATTTGGGAGAGGAGATTTGGAAAGACGTGAGTTGAGAGGTTTCTGGGAAGAAAGAAATGCGTGAAAGGAGGATGAAAAGTGAGCCAACACATTTCCTTTTTAATTCATGTAATTAAAAATTAATACCACATAGCACGCCCGTAGGATGCCACGTAGGTCAACTATCACAATAGGCGACTATAAATAGCATTATTCTACAAGTTATCAATAGCTCCCAGTTATTTTATTTTATTTTTGTTGTTGTCAATAACGTATAATGAGATTAGAAAATTGTATTGTTAAACAAAGTGATAGAAATCTTCAAATTTTATGTTTGGAAAAGGAAGAACAGAACCTCAAATCGTTAAAACTCCTTAGTAACAATGAAAATGAAGAAGATATCAACATATTTACCAGCTTGAATTGTGAATTAACGTTACCTTAAAAGCGCTATTTTCTACCTCTCGCTGAATTTGAGATGCTGTAGGAACTCCAAACATATAGCTTTAGTGGATTCTTCAAGCCTTAATCTGGATAGCAAAAGAACAAAAGAAATCTCGGAAAAAGAAGAACTTCTCAAAAATCTAAATTTTAGGTCATGAAATTGGTCTTCATTAATGCACAAGTCTGGGGATGTTATTGTTATGTTTTCACATCAATTTCAACTCATATTTATAGTAAATAATCAATGAAATCATTAAGGGACACCACGGTTGAAGAGTCACCTCTTGAAGAGGAATTTCAAAATTCTCACTACATTTGTACACAGGGCAGTGAAACCGCGTAGCCAAGTAGACCAGGTGCGCTCATCAGGCAATGTACCTCCTTTGTCATGCAACACTTTACCGCACTTCATCTCTTCCAATCCTTCATATATTTGAGAGATTCATTGTTACTTTTTGAGATAATTGGAGATTTCCTTTCGAAAATAGGACTCTATTTACTTAATTAAATTAAACCAGAATTCAATGGAAATCTAGTAGTTTTCATCTTCATCAAAAAATTGAAAGATTACTTCAAAATTATCTGCACAGGGTGGCTGCCAATCTTGTTAAATGATTAACTTTAATTAAATATGACTTCTTTCAACTACAATATCATGGGCCGAATTTATTCGAATTAACTTTTTTTTCGAGTCCAAAATGCGTTATTTAATATTAGCTGCAAAACGAGTCCAATATTCACATACTAATTCTTGTTAATTCAATACTTGATTTTTTTAATATTTTTAGTTTTAAATTTTTTTTTACCCAATAAATAAAAATATTGATGTCAAAACTTACTCTCAAATTAGTCCCTTAACATCACAAAATTATCAAAATGTGCCAAAATGATATAGAAGAAATTTTATTTTCAGTAACTACTGCAGCGTAGAGCGATGAAGCAACAAGACTAGTATTCTCAAAGTCATCTCAAATATGTATTAAAAAAAAAAAAAACTGATGAATTATTGGCAATCTCGATACTTCGAGAAAAGTTCGACAAATTTATCATTAGGAAAAGATAGATCAACTTTAGAGAGATAATCCCAGAGACCACTAACATAGGAGTGAAACTCAACAATAGATTGACCAGGTTCTTGATGCAACCGATACAATATGGAATCCAACCGAAAGTGGTAAACACCATCATTAGAGTAAGTAATTGTACCAATTTGCCAAAAGAATTTCAAGCAACTTTGACATTCTGAAATTTGGGAAGAAGACTTCGAATAGAAGGAACAGATGTATTGATGAACCTAGATAAAATTTTACAATGAATGTCTTTTCATATCTCAAGATGGTCATCAAAAGCATCCCCAGAATTCTTCTAAATTTTTTGTTGGCTCTATTTTGTCTACCATGACAAATGCCACAGTCTATGACTAATCAGAACGATCGACATCTGTTGGGCCTAAATATTGTAGTTGGGCCATCCAAACAAAACAATATGGCGAGTAATGTTAACATTATTAGTTGAAGCATAAATGAATGATACTAACCGAATCAAAGCAAACAGAGGTCACTGATGGAAAGAGCAGTGGAAGTTTGCTATAGCTCCATTGAGCGACAAGGACGTGATGGCTGTAGACGTTGACCTGCATAGGCGTTGTGTGCGGTGTTTTTCGACGATGTTCTTTCCACCAAACCAAATAAATTAAGGGATATATATATATATATATATATATATATATATATATATATA